ACTAGCCCGCCACCACCCCTTTAGTCCCGGTTTGTGTCACGAACCGGTACTAAAGGTTCAACATGAACCGGAACTAATGATGCCCGCCCCCTAGCCATGGGAACCGGGACTAATGGTCACATTAGTATCGGCGTTTCCAAACCGGGACTAATCGGGCTCACGTAAAGTCGTTTTTCTACTAGTGTCCTGTGAGCAGCCGCAAAATCAAGTCGATTCTCTGCGCTGGCGTCTAGCACCTCCTCATCCCCCTTAACCACCTAGAGCCATGCCTTTCCGTCGGACTCCAGTGGGCATTGAGGAGATGGCTGACGCCGGAAGCGCGACCAACCAAACCAAGGCATGGAGGAGAAAATCAAAGCGATGTTAATACTATGTACGAATATTTTTGCTGCAACCTCAAACAATGGCGACGATGTGCAACGGCATCCATGTTGCGACTGGGCTCGCGGCGACGTCAGCAACATCGATGATGTTGTGACGATGATCACAACGGCGACCATGTTGCGACCAGGCTCATGGCGGCGTCTGCAACATCGGCGATATTGCGGCGATGACCGCAACAACGGCCATGTGGCAACCGAGCTTGTTAGAATAAATCCGAGGCACTCCGTTGATCTACCGAGGACCAAGCAATCGCACGAGCACAACACTGAGATTTGTTAATGAGGTTCACCGATATGGCTACATCCCCGGGGCAATGACTACGGGCGCTCCTCCCCCGTGACACCGTCACAATACCGCACCCCGGCCGCCCGGGCGCCGGCACAAGCCGCCGGCTCCCCCGCGTGCCCGTGCTATTATGTTGGCATAGGTTACATCGTGCGTCTACCCCTCTATATATGAGAGGCCTAGGATACAAGTGTTCTATTAGGACACAACTCCTACCCTGTCTACACATAGTACGACTCTAAGTCCAACTGTAACCTAACTTGTACAATAATATTCGACACAACTCTAACAAACTCCACCTTGGCGAATATTCTCCACCATCTTGAATTTGTCCGTGCATCGAACCTCCATGTACATTGGACTTGAGATACGCCATGAGCACCGCTGCTACTCCCAGACTCCATGTGACTCCACCTGCAACTGTAGTCCCTTCTTGTCTTCTTCACAATCAACACTCGAGCAAAATTAAGTTCCTCATTACTCTACCTTGTGCTCCCAACTTCTGGAGAATCCGTTCAACGCCATCACATACCGATCATTAACCTGCGTGAAAGTGAACAACCCACCTATTGGACGCCACATATAAGAGTTACTTGAACTCAACGTCACCGCTCTTTCTTGACTGTCTGTCTGAAACTTGAAGGAATTTCACCGTGGCCCTGTGTCATCCCGAGTCAAATTCACAGTTGTCTCATCCCTTTGTCCGGATAGTCTCTGACATGTCCCACCGCTATAGCACTCCGCCTCCTTCTGCCTTGTCATCCGCACTTTGCCATCATCCTATGACCATTTGATCACTACTTTGACGCATGGCAAGGAGACCGTCAAGAACGAGTATATTACTGCGGCATTGCTATGTTATGATATGAGAAAGAAGAACGCGGTGGAAGTCTGTCATGGTGAAGGTTTGCTAGTCAAGGGTGAGCAGTGGCGGAAGGGATATGAGGCTGGGAAGAACAAGAAAAAGTTTGTTAGAGTTGTGTCGAATATTATTGTACAAGTTAGGTTACAGTTGGACTTGGAGTCGTACTATGTGTAGACAGGGTAGGAGTTGTGTCCTAATAGAACACTCGTATCCTAGGCCTCTCATATATAGCGGGGTAGACGCACGATGTAACCTATGCCAACATAATAGCACGAGCACGCGGGGGAGCCGGCGGCGTGTGCCGGCGCCCGGGCGGCCGTGGTGCGGTATTGTGACGGTGTCACGGGGGAGGAGCACCCGTAGTCATTGCCCCGGGGATGTAGCCATATCGGTGAACCTCATTAACAAATCTCGGTGTTGTGCTAGTGCGATTGCTTGGTCCTCGGTAGATCAACAGAGTGCCTCGGATTTATTCTAACAAGTGGTATCAGAGCCCAGGTGCCCGGAATAAATCTCGGTGGACTCACGGGTGTTCGGTCATGGTTGGTGGGCTGGAAATGCTGGTGTTAGCGGGCCCATGGATGATCGATGTGTGAGGGGGAGATTATTGGGTTTAGTCCCACATCGGTTGTGGGGGGATACATAACACGATGTTGCTCTCCGGTTGGGCCTGGTGACGCGTGTGGGTCGGAAACGCTGGTGTAGCGGACCCGGAATTGCGTAACAAGTGGTATCATGAGCAAGGTTCGATTTAAGGTTGCAGCTATTGATCTTGAGGTGGAGCAGAATTCCATCCCATCGATCTTGCCCGGTCGCACTACTCGACCACTGATCAATTCGACGAATTCTGCTGCACCTCTAGATCAATAGCTGCAACCTTAAATCGAACCTTGCTCATGATACCACTTGTTACGCAATTCCGGGTCCACTACACCAGCGTTTCCGACCCACATGCGTCACCAGGCCCAACCGGAGAGCAACATCGACTTATGAGAGGCCTTGGGCCCTCTCCCCCCAAAATACTAGCCTATTAGGAGGGGACACCCCCGCCCTTATAAATCGTGTTATGTCTCCCCCCACAACCGATGTGGGACTAAACCCAATAATCTCCCCCTCACACATCGATCATCCATGGGCCCACTAATACCAGCATTTCCAGCCCACCAACCATGACCGAACACCCGTGAGTCCACCGAGATTTATTCCGGGCACCTGGGCTCTGATACCACTTGTTAGAATAAATCTGAGGCACTCCGTTGATCTACCGAGGACCAAGCAATCGCACGAGCACAACACCGAGATTTGTTAACGAGGTTCACCGATATGGCTACATCCCCGGGGCAATGACTACGGGCCCTCCTCCCCCGTGACACCGTCACAATACCGCACCCCGGCCGCCCGGGCGCCGGCACACGCCGCCGGCTCCCCCGCGTGCCCGTGCTATTATGTTGGCATAGGTTACATCGTGCGTCTACCCCGCTATATATGAGATACCTAGGATACAAGTGTTCTATTAGGACACAACTCCTACCCTGTCTACACATAGTACGACTCCAAGTCCAACTGTAACCTAACTTGTACAATAATATTTGACACAACTCTAACAGAGCTCATGAAGCTTCGCTTGTCGGGCCGCAACATCACTGCTGTTGTGCTTGTCGGATTGCAACATCGCAAGTGTTGCGATGAGAGGCGATCGGACGGCTGTGTGAGAGCAAATCGGACGGCTCGCGAGCCTATTGATTTTTTCCAAAAATTAGTCGGCCGACGCGTAGCACCGGCCTTCCCCCACACACCGGTCTTGTGATTAAACTAGTCGAAGCATAATAATCTCTGCACTATTTGACATAGACCGATTGACTAAATTTAAACACCACATTTAAATCAAGCAACTATAAAGCCATACTGGTATTGACTTTAAAATAAGCACAACATCAAAATAGGCTAAGTGTCAAATGCATCATAGATAATACAGACGTAAATTACAATGCATTAAGATTCCCTAAACTGTGGAAGATTAGGGAGTTTACTCACACATACATTAATTCGATGAAAGGAGCATTCAGAACCTCGGCATTAGTCGGATATTAGAATGGAACTAGAGGAACTAATGCCAACTAGAGTGCTAGTTTCCGAGCTAAGTTAGATCTATTCTACCATAATCTACTACTAATCTGCTAGAACTATGAAATATCTAATCTCTCTAAATTGTGACTTTTCGGCGGAATTTTCAACCTTGGCCTTCGAAACTTGTGAAATCTTGGATGTCCCTACTGTGTGGTGGAAGCCCACAATTTATAGGTGAAATTACAGATGGGTGTCACTCGGCAAATGTAGGGTGCCACACGTCACTAGCTCTAACACGAACTCCGATTTATATTTCTCTCTCAATTTTAAGGTTGATTTTGAGACTCTGGATGCTTTAGTGCCACGTGCCACTAGGCCATGACGGGTTTAGAAAATTCTTAAAATTTTCAATGGATTTTGATTCTAGATACAAAGGTTGGAAAAATATAATATATTCATAAAATTCCATTGTTTTCTATGATGTCTTTCCCTAAGGGCTCTTTTCTAGCATTTTTCTGCATTTTTCTGCAAAACAGGCTCTCATAAAAAACATACTTGCCCAAGGTGACTAGAAACATGAATTCATGTTTTCTTATATTCAGTATTTAAATTTTTGTTCAAAATATATTTCTGTTCTCCTTGAATATTTTGTTGCAATTTAATTCTTAGAGATTCTGCATTTAATTCTATTTATGAATTTTAGCCTGTATGTATGCACTAAATTAGAAAGTTTATATGTCCAAAATTATTCTAGTTATGTTTTAGTTATGATAGAAAATTATTGTAATATGAATTTGACTTTAGTTTTATTATGGCTTTGATTTATTGCTAATTTAGTGTTATTTCCAAATCTCAAGGCATAATCTTCTGAATTTGATTTCAATTTTGAGTTTACTTTAATTATTTGTATATTTTATATTTTAATCTCTCGATACATTTCTTGTTTTATTTTGATTCCAAATTTAATTAGAGTGTGGAACTCAAATTTAGATGCTCCAATTTATCTCTAAACTTAGTTAATATACATCTAAAGGTAAATTTAAATTTCTTCCATGTTGTACCCTAATTTAGTATTATATTTTAGACATGTCATTTGTAATCTATATTTGAATTGGATGGAGCTCATATTTTATATGTAACCCAAGCCGTTTCTAGCAGCAGCATAGGCCTTCTAGAAAACATTCATTTAGTGCTGACAGGGTATAAGGTGGGTATAATTAGCAGGGGGACAAATAATGTAAAAAAACAAAGACGTGTATAGGCTACTTTCTTGTTGTGCATGTAAAAAGGTGAAATGACTTCTATTTTGAACTAGAGGTAGTGCACGAAGAAGGATTTCGCTATTTTGCAAAATTTAACTTATTGTTGTATGCATCAGGCGATCTAAGATAAATGAAATATGCATCCGACGGAGAGTTTGATCAAACTATTCAGTGAGTGGGAAATCCAGCTACTTGTGCTCCTCAGCTTCACACTACAATTGTTCCTCTTCTTTACTGGTAGCCTTCGGCGCAATGGCACCAGCGGGTTCCTAAGGCTCTCCATTTGGGCAGCTTACTTGGGGGCAGACTTAGTAGCAGTTTATGCCCTTGGCCTTCTCTCACGACATGAGGATATCACCACCACTGAAAGGCACATTCAACTACTGGCTTTCTTTTGGGCACCATTCCTCCTCATCCATCTTGGTGGGCAGGACACTATTACTGCTTTTGCCATGGAGGACAACAACTTGTGGTTGAGGCATTTGTTGAACCTGGTGGTGCAAGTTCTCTTAGCTCTATATGTTTTCTGGAAGTCCATTGGAAGGCACAACGTGGAGCTTCTAGTCTCAGGTATCTTTGTGTTTGTTGCTGGAGTTGTCAAGTATGGAGAAAGAACATGGTCTCTCAGGTGTGGAAGCCTCGAGAGCTCAACTGGGCATCATTACATCAAACTATTTCCTGAAGAAATCAATGTCGTAGATGTTGGCTATTCTAGCATTGTTTGTGCTGCCCTAGATTCGATGCCATATATTCTTGGTATATTTTCAGCGAGCAGCCTGTTTGCCACAAGCCCCTTGAGTGAAGACACACTACGAGACCCGGACAAAATGCTCAAGGTGGTGAGGCTTGAACTTGGCATGATGTATGACGATCTCTACACTAAGGCTGTTGTGCTAAGAACAAGGAGTTTCATCATACTTAGATGCATTTCTCAGATATCTTTTTTTGTCTCTTTTGCTCTCTTCCACGTAGACGATAAACGGAGGTATAGTAGAGGCGACACTGCAATCACTTATACACTATTTTTTGGAGGTTTTTTACTAGAAGTCTGTGCGATGTTTGTTTTCATGATGTCACCATGGACATGGGCATGGTTGAAGGTTAAAAAGTGCAACAGGCTTGCCAAACTGTCCTGGTTTATTTTTTCCACTAATATTGGATGGCCGGAGAAGAATCAACGCTGGCCAAATTTGATGGGACAGTACAACTTTCGAAGCTGGTTGACTGGCAACGATCTGCGGCCAAGGACATGCAAGCAACGAGTCATGACTGTGGTCAAAAGGTTATTTATGTATTTGTTCTATGCCGAAAAGAAAAATATATTCTGGATGAGCAAGCTGTTAGACACCGAGTACGTGAATGTGGATAAGATGATGATGGAGTGTGTTGCAAAGGAGATATGTCTCTTACATGATGAATTCCCCATTGGAGATTCCCCCACTAAACAGCCCCCACACAAGAAGGGACGCCGAGAATGGCAAAGTATTCAACCGCTGTTGACAAGAACAGAAACTGATTTAGTTACTGATTTTGGTTGTGGTATTTCGGAAATACATATGCTGACTGAGCTACACTTAAGTAAATATCCTCCTCCGTCAGACATGGAGGCCAATAATGCTGGTATGGTGGAGGTATGCCGAAAGCTATCCAACTACATGATGTACCTTTTGGTTACTCACCCTTCCATGCTGCCCCTCAATATTAGCGCGGAAGCTACGCTGGAGAGATATCAGGTGAATCCTAGAGTAATCGAGGAAGATCTGATGGTCAAGGAGGAAGGGAAGGAGCCAAGCGAGCAAGTATTGGAGAGGATGGAGCCAAGCAAGGAAGCATTGGAGGGGTTGGTACACATGTGGACAAGGCTCCTTCTTTACGCCGCTGGCAAATCGAGGGTGGAGATGCACAAGACGCAGTTGAGCAGAGGAGGGGAGCTCATCACCTTCGCCTGGCTGTTCATGGCCCACTATGGGCTGGGGGATTCCCAGCTTAGAAGGATTCAAATTACCAATGACGAAACCAAGACCGTATGTCCAAGCGTGCCACAGATATACGCCTTCTATGATCCAAAGTACACAATTTATTTATGTACGTACTACTTATTCTTTATTAAGCAAAGCTAGCTAACTATCTAAAGTTATGTGTGTTTTTATTTCTGGCAAGCAGTTATTCGACAGGCAGTGATGAATCGTCATGCTCTCAAGATGCCGACGTGCCATCGAGCCCCTCCGAATGTCGTCATGCTGAGGATGCCGTCGAGCCTCTCCGCACGTCGTCAAGCTCCCAGCATGCCAACGATCTTTTCATTGCTATGAGAACATTGATCTTTTCATTGAAATGAGACCCGAATAGAACTACAGAATGGCGCGGCGGCAACGATGCCCCTGCACGCGACGGGAACCAACTACAGAACATTCCACCACGGCAAAGACGAGAATGCATCCGCTCGCATGCATCCGTACAATAAATCGATTAGGAGATAGTTGCTTATGCAATTACAATCATAGATCTAATGACTAATGGTGTATTGTCTATTCATCTATGTTGGCGCCGCCTCCTCGCCGCAGCGCCCTTCTTCTTCTTCCTCACAACTCTCTCTTCTCTCTTTCATGGTTTGTCTCGCACAAACACGTGAACGCACACATACCAGGGGAACACACACACGTACACACTTCACCGAGGAAGAAGGTTCACCATGGCTTTGCCAAAGACACTTCCCTGGTGTGCCACACATACCAGGGGAACACACACACGTACACACTTCACCAAGGAAGAAGGATCACAATGGCTTTGCCAAGGACACTTCCCTGATGGCACACCATGTCTACATGTTTCCCACGGCCCTCACAGCCATTTTTCCATTCACTCAAAGGAAACCATTTATACAGGGACTCAACACTCCACGGTACATGCCGCCACAACCATCATGCACCACTCACGCCACCAACTACCCCTATTCTCATGCTCACGTCCAGCCTCACCACAACGCCCAAACAACCCGGCCGTCTATCTATCTAGCTAATCAGCGACCTGCATGCATCCATACCAGAGTGCGTGCTAGCTTTCCTCAACGGCCGGCCACTAACTAGCTAAATACATGCATGCAACTAACTTATCAAGATTACTACTAACATTTTCCCCTTTAATCTTGACTTGTCATCGCCGGAGTTGCTGCCGGGGAATGTCCCTTCTTCGTCTCCGGGGCCGCCGCACGCTCGTCCGCCAGAGTTGACGTTGCCGCTCCCATCGCCGTTGTCATTGCCACAGCCGCCCCGCGACCTCCATACTCAGCGTGAACCACGCAGCATGCATCATCACGCACGAACGCTGCAGCCTCTCCTTCTTCCTCGGCAACACACGCCGAGCTCCTTCTCCACCCACACCAGTTACAACGCACACGGGAGGTTTTATACCATGGACATGCCAAGGGCAGGAACACACGTCCCCATCCACGCGGAGCACTCGCCCGCTCAGTCCGCACCCCCGACGCGCACGCACACGTCCCGGTCGCGTCGAGCCCGCTACAAACTCACTCACGCACCCCCACGTTCGCCAACAGACTGGCTACACAATATATGCATGTACGAATCAACTGGATCGAGTGTGTGCTACTCCAAGTAAGAACTGGAAGATGTTCTTCATCGAAGAAGCGGCCTGGTACGGCGCGATAAGAGCAGTGGACAACACGGCTTGGTCCTCTCACGCGGCAACGACGACGGCTTCGCATGCGGCTCCAAGCGACGGCACTCCGTCAGGCTGGCCCAGCCGGCGACACCGCTGCTCACAGCGGAGGCCCTTGGCCACGAGGCCCACGACGCTCGTCCCGGCACGGCATCGCGAAGCGACAGTGCGTGGCGTCGTCGGTGCACGACGGCATGTGGCGAAGCCCTACGGCTTGACCCTCCAACATGGTGATTGAGCACCAGCCATGACACGGCGGCGCGGCCTCGGCGCGAGGCAACCAACGGCCGCCTTACGCGCGACGCCTTCCCATCGACGTGCATGGCTCCCGCAGCGGAGCACGCGGCGGCCCTTGGCCCGACGGTGCTCCTCCCGGCGCGCCGCGGCCATCGGCCCCGGTGGTTGTGCTTGGCCACGGACGCCCTCCCACTGCGCACGCCACAGACGGCAACCTCGGCTCCCGTGAGGACGGCCTCCAACCGCGACGCGGCGCGGAAGACCGAAACCGGCAGTAAAAGACGCGGCCTTCGGCTCACATCCGCGCAGATCAGTGGCGCCTGAGGAAACGGCTCTTGGTCGGCCCTGCGCAGCGACGCCCTCTAGCATGCGCGCAGCGAGGAAACCGGCAGCCGGGCCACTCCCTCTGGCCCGGGAGGCGGCAGCTCCCTCCGGCGTGGCTCCAGCGACAGAGACAACGGCGGCCCCACATGCGCAAGTGACGTGGCTCTGGCCGGTGAGCCAAAACGGCGGCGAGGCGGTTACGGGATTTCTCTGGGTAGAAACCGCTCAGGAGCTGGGAAGCCTGGGGTTGTCCTCAAGTTGGATTATGAAAAAGTCTATAATAGGGTTAGCTGGGATTTCTTAATAGAGGTTTTAACTTCCGGAGGTTTTGGCACTAAATGGATAGGGTGGATTCTATCTATTCTCATAAATAGTTCCTTTTCTGTCAAAATCAATGACACGATGAGCCCCTACTTTGTGGGTGGCAAAAGGCTTGAAACAAGGAGACCCTAGTTCCCTTATTCTGTTCAATTTAGTTGCGCATGTTTTTTCCCGAATGTTAGCTAAAGCAGTTAGGGGGGAGATTGTCTCTGGGATTGTTCTCCACATCATCCCTGACAGCTTGGTTAGCTTGCAGTATGCTGAGGACACAATTTTGTTCCTAGACTCAGATAATAATAAAGCTAAAAACCTTAAGTGGTTGCTGGCTTGTTTTGAAAACCTATCTGGGCTACGGATTAACTATGACAAATGCGAGCTGGTGCCTATAAATTTAGATGAGGCAACTGCTAAAGTAATATCTCAAATTTTCTGGTGTAAAACTGGGACTTTTCCCCTCAAATATCTAGGGGTACCACTGCATTATTTGAGGTTGAGGAGGGAAGACCTCCAACCCATTATTGACAAAATTATCAAAAGAAACTGTGGGTGGCGCAGGAGACTACTTAGGTATGAGGCTAAGCTAATTCTCCTACAGGCTTGCATAGCCAGCATACCCATGTATTTGATGTATGTTATAAAATTCCCTAAATGGGCCATCAAGGCTATTACATCTCAAATGGCACACTTTTTTGGGGGGAATCTGGGAGAAAATCACAAATGCCATCTGGCCAATTGGGGGCTCATCTCCCAAAAGAAATCTTTTGGTGGTTTGGATGTTGTTAATATGAGAGAATTTAACATGGCTCTATTGGCCTCGTGGTCTAAACAATATTTCCAGAGTGACAAGAAAGACTGGCAGAAACTACTTGACCACAAGTACAGGACGGATAAGCCTAATCTGCTGTGGGCGAAGCCTGAGGTGGGATCCCCCTTCTGGAAAGGGGTCACCTGGGCGCTGGCTGGGGCTAGACCCTTCTACAGATGGAAAATGGGAAATGGGCATAGGATCAGCTTTTGGCACGACATTTGGGTTGGAGATTTTTCTCTAAAAACCCACTTTTGGGAGATATACACCATTTGCCAACAGCAAGAATGTAGTGTTCCGCAGGTTTGGGATAGAGAAACCCTTAAACTCTCCTTTACTAGATGCGTGGATGATAGAGTCATTGCCATATGGCAGGATCTGCTCCAAACTATTAGGTCCAATGTACCAAATGAGGAGGATGACCAACCTATTTGGATGCTGGAGGCATCCGGGGTTTACACCGTAAAATCGTTTTATAACATGATTAACTGGGGTGGGGTTTGTACCCCAGTGTGGAAAAACTTTTGGAAGATCTTGGTCCCACATAGATACCTAGTGTTTCTTTGGCAAGCTTTCCATAACAAGATCTTAACTATGGATAACTTAGATAAAAGACGGCCTGTGAATGACAAGACATGCCTTTTCTGTTGTGAAAGTGAATCGGTGCAACATCTGTTTTTTGATTGTGTGGTTGCAAAAGAAGTTTGGTCGGATATGGCACAATCATTTTAGTTTACCTATCCACGATGTTTGCGGGAGTTATCTGATCTATGGGTGCTAACAATTTTTTTTTTGTTAATATTGCTTGTGTTGCTGCCATTTGGAGCATCTGGACCATGCGTAACGATCTTTGTTTTCAGGGCGTGCAGTGGATAAGTACTCGGGTGATCTTGGGGAGAGCTTGTGCCATGTCACATCAGTGGAAGATTCTGTGCGCGGGGGACCAGTCAGTGCTATTGCGGCGCTGTCTCCGGCGGCTGGACCGGCGAAGAGGCGAGCTGCTACGTATCGTGTGGTGGGGAGAAACAAGGCTGGCGTGAACAAGGAGCTGGTTGGATTTGCGCTGCAACCTCACTCAGGATGAGAAGGGCTGGCGATGTAATAGGCTAGTTTCTTTCTCTGTAAACCAGCTGTTGATGACTGGTCATGTTATGGCTCTACTTTAAACTTCTTCAGTAGCGTAGTTTGGCCTGCTCCTCTTGCTAGGCTCGAGAACGCTAAGTTGTTACCTGGGTGCGGTGCCCCGTTTTCGTTCTTTATGCATTAGTTCGTTCTTTTGGACTTAATACACTAGATGCATGCTGGATAGCAGCCGATGTGTGAAGTAATAATAGTAGATGCAGGCAGGAGTTGGTCTACTTGATTTGGATGTGATACCTATATCATGATCATTGCCTTGGATAGCGTCATAATTATTTGCTTTTCTATCAATTGCCAAAAAATAATTTTTTTACCCACTGTATGATATTTTCTTGAAAGAGATGCCACAAGTGAACTCTACGGCCCCCGGGTCTACTTTTACCATAAGATCTATCTTGTTTACTTGTACAAAAATACCAAATATACTTGCTGCACTTTTTTATCTTTTATTTATTTATCAATCTGTCATATACCATTTAATCTTGTTACTTGACCGGCGAGAGATTGACAACCTCTCGTTTGCGTTGGGTGCGAGGGTTTGCGTTTTGTGTGTAGGTGCTATTTACGTGGTGTTGCTTGGTTCTCCTACTGGATTGATAACTTTGGTTTTCTAAC